ACACCAATCAGTGCTCATAAAATAAAAGTAAATTATTAAAAAAAAGAAAGAAAGAGGAAAAGAAAAAAGAAAGAAAGTTACCTTGGCTGAAAACATTTTTTAGGTTTTCCTTCTCCTCCTCAGGAGGTCTCTGAGGTGACTCCCACCCTTGGGTGCTCTCACAGTATTGACACTCGAGTCTCTCCATCCAGAGATTCTGATTTCAAGACCAAGGATGTCACCTGATCTTTGGGCTTTAAAAATGCTGGCCTCTAGCCCCAGGATTCTACCCTAGAGAGTCTTGTGTGGTGGAGTGAAGGGTAAATTGTTTGGGCCTTGAAGGACAGGAACAAAAATAAATACAGAAGATTCCTGGAGAAAGCCTAGGGGTGACCTAGAGCCCAGGAGGGTCAGAAACTCACGATGAACTTCAAGGGGTTTGATTCACGCCTGGCCCAGTCTAGAGAAGCGGGCCTGAGATTTTGGTGCTGCTGGTTAAATGTGTGGAGGGGAGAATGTGGTTGAAACTTGGGTGGAACGGGGAAGAGTGAGCTCTAAATTACGAAGCACAGACAGACTGTAATTTGGTAAACAACTGAATTAGCAATGAGCAATATTGAAGGACTTCTGATCCTTCAGCGGGATTGCTGTTGACCTAGTTAATGTTATCACTGGAGGCTCCCATTCTTGCGGCCCAGGGGATAGGTTTTTCGGCTGGGGTGGTGCTGCAGGCCTTTAATCCGCATCTTGAAAAGTCAAAGGAACAACAACAGAAGCACGCTTGGACCTTCTGCAGCGGGGGTGAGTGCCCTGCTGATGCCCACTCCTCTCCCCCACATTTTATTTTGAGCCGGGTTTCGCTAAAGTTGTTTAAGTTGATTTTGAAATGGCTCTGCCGCCCAGATATGCTATGTGTGTTGATGTGTTTGCCACGTCACGTGTGTGGAGTTCAGATTTTGGAAGCAGGGTCTCTCTTGAGCCTGCTGTACTGCATATTCCTGGCTGACTAGTTTGGAACATTCCAGATGGTTGTTCTGTCTCCCACAATATATATATATATATATATATATATTGAGAAAGTGACCCTGGGCCTCAAGCTGCTCCAGAGTGACGTTGGTTTGTTTAGGGATAACTGAGACAGCCGACTTACACAATCACACAGAGAGCTATAACCTGGAGATAACCAGGGTGTCACCTGCCTCTGTGAATCTACCCAGAAAATGTAACCCAGAGAGAACCCAAGCCCAGTTTCCGCTTTTGTAACACTTGCTTCATTACTTAAAAACATAACTTGGGATGGTAATCTAAAAGACACCTGTAAACCAGGTGTGTTGGTACACGCTTTTAATCCCAGCACTCGGGAAGCCAAGGCAGACGGATCTCTGTGAGTTCAAGGCCAGCCTGCTCTACAAATTGAGTTCCAGGGCGACCAGGACCGTTACACAGAGAAACCCTGTCTCTATATATATTCCAAAGATCAAACTCAGGTAGTCAGACTTGTTTGGTGAGTGTTTTGTATCCCTGAGCTCCCTCACCAGCCCCCAAACAGGCCTTGAACTTTGTCTGTCTGTCCTTGAACAGGATAAACCTGGCTCTTCCTCCCTAGTGCTTGGGATAAAGGCGTGCACCACCACCCCAGGCAGGCTTTACGCTCAAGGTCTTCCTGCCTCAGCCTTTGCAGGTAGAACTACAGGACTCTACCATCAGGCCTGGTTTCTGAACCCCCTTTATTTCTCTCTCCTCTTCGGCTGGGGATGCAGCTGGGTGGTAGAGCACCTACCTAGCATTTGTGAAGTCTTGGGTTTACTGCTCAGTACAGACAGAGACAGCTGGCCAGCCAGATTGGTCACTTCAGGCAATCTTCCCTTTTGAGCAGCGGTTCCCTAAATAACTTTTTTGCTATTATTGCTGTTGTTCTGGCTTTCCTGGAACTCACTATGTAGATGAGACTGATCTGAAGCTCAGAGAGATCCCTCTGCCTCTGCCTCCTGAGTGCACCCCACACGTAGCCCCCTGACTTGAAGACGTTTGCGTTGTGGAGTCATGTCAGAAGCAGGACTTGAGGGTTAGCTGACAGTGTTGAGGGCGACAGTGTATGGAGGAGGTGGGGAGCCCTTTCGGGGAGGCCACTGCAATAATCCAGGATGAGGTAGGTAATCCCGGCAAGGGCTGTTGGAAGGGTGGTACCAAAGCATGCTACGGTTGTGGAGCTGACGCAGTTCAACAGCAGGCATGAGATGGATAAGGAGGCTGTCTGGGGCATGCTGTCATCAAAGGGGCCAACAACGCACAGTGTGATAGCATTTCACCAAGTTGGTTTAGAGCAAAAGGAGTGAAGAGCACAGGCACGGTCCCCGTGGCTGGCCATGTTCCTCCATAGACAGGCTTCCTGTGGCATGGTCCCGTGGCTGGCCGTGTTCCTTCACAGACAGGCTTCCTGTGGCATGGTCCCGTGGCTGGCCGTGTTCCTTCACAGACAGGCTTCCTGTGGCATGGTCCCTGTCCATGAAAGAACGCAGCCAGCCTCTCGAGGAAAGTCTGCAGGTGCTGTGTTCTGTTGGAAAGGTTTTGGGTCAGTGTTTGGAGTGTAACTGTGTGATGAGGTGTTTGCTTAACACATGAAGATCTGGGCTCAAGATTCATTGCCAGAAAGAATGAACAAGCCCGTACCAAAACTTTTAATCCCAGCACTCGGGAGGTACAGGCAGGGGGATCTCTGTGAGTTTGAGGCCAGCCTGATCTACAGAGTGAGTTCTAAGACAGCCAGGGCTACACAGAGAAACCCTGTCTCAGAAAAAAAGCAAAGCAAACCAAACCAAACCAAAAAATGTAGATACCTGGGAAAGGGGAGAAGGAGGAAGGGGTTATTAGCCGCGTGTTTGGGAAGGAGATAACGCGCCACTGAGCCCAGGTTAGGGAATTCCCAGTCAGGAGAGAGGTGTGCCTGAAGCCTGGTGACACACCTGTGATCCCAGCATTTGGGAAGTGGAAACAGTATTTCAGGAGACAAAGGTTATCAGTGAGTTTAAGTTTAACTTAACTATAAGAGATACTGTCTCAAGATAAGTCAATGAATAAAGGGTGGGGTGGGCAGGCGGACAGACAAGTCAGGCAGGAAAGGGCTGGGGGAAGCAGAGTGTTTTGAAAACATCACTAATTTTGTGCAGTGCAATCAGTGGCTATTAGAGATTCTAGCGGGGTGAGGAACGGAAATGCATTTCAAGGAGGCAGAAAGAGCGGGTTTGAAGGAAAGACAGAACCACAGAGACGGTTTCCAACTCAAGAAGAAAGCTGAAGAGGAATGAGGCAGGAGACACTGCACATAGGAAATCCTCCAAGAGCACTGGTGGTGGCTGCTCTTTCAGAGGAAGGTCCCAGCATCCACAGTAGGTGTGGCTCACGACCACCCGTAACTCCAGCTGCAGTGTGTCGGAGGGTGTTTGTGGGCATCGGCACTCATGCTTGTGTAATACACACACATATAAAAATAAATCTTTAAGAAAATAGCTATCGGGGCTGGAGAGATGGCTCAGTGGTTAAGAGCACTGACTGCTCCTCCAGAGGACCCGGGTTCAATTCCCAGCACCCACATGGCAGCTCACAGCTGTCTGTAGCTCCAGTTCAAGAGAATCTGACATTGTTATACCAATGTGCATGAAATAAAGTTAAATAAAGTTTTTTTTTAAAAAAAAAGAAAAAAGAAAATAGCTATCGCTAGGAAAGGCATTAGACCTGAAAAGTCTCAAGAGGAACCAGTGATACCTGTGCCTCCCTCCCTCGGCCTCAGCGCACCCCCCCACCCAGTGCAAGGTTTTCTGCCTGGATTCTGTCACAGCCTGGTCTGAGCATATCTCACCAGCCATCCTGTGTGTCACCGCCATGCCTCCTGAATGAACAGCTGGGACACACCCTGCTTTACATGTGTGCAGTGAAACCAGACACTCGCTCTGCTTGGTCCCCATCCCCTCTCACAGAGGCATCACTACAGGCTTAGGGTTAGCTAGGGCAATGAGCCCAGGTGTAGAGGATCTGTTAGCCCTTTTCCCAGGATTCCCACAGGTCTCTGCTCCTTGTCTGAGCTTGCCTTCCTGTGGGACTCTGGTGCAAGCTGTCCAGCCCCTGGCCAGGAACACCGTGGGCAGGTGATCTTTCCCCTGCTCCTGTTACCCCAGCCTCGACCAGCTTCACTGTGGTCTGCCATCTTCTTCCTTCTTGCCTTCTAGAAGTCTCCCTTCCCCCAAGCCCTAAACCCAACCTAGAAGGGAATGGGAAAGCAGGGCTGGAAAGCCCGGGAGAATGACACTCCAGGTCTTCCTCTGGCTTCCTCTCTCTCTTGACATAGGGTTTAGTACAGCCCAGAATGACCTCTAACGTGCTATAGAGTGTGACTTTGAACTCTTGACTCTTCCCCGCCAGACGCTAGGTCTATAGACCTACAGCAAGCCTGGCTAGGGGGACCCTCTTTTCTCTGCTGTCATGGAAAATTATCTCCTCCCGTTTTTTTCCCTGGTGAGGGTCAGCACCCCTTCCCGCTCCCCGCGAAGTGGAAAAACAAAAACCAAGATGAAAATTGAAAAGGGAACGGAACGCCAAGGGTCAAGGTGTTCTCCGAACTGTGGTCTTTGGAACTGCGGGTGATAAATCCACTAAAGTGTCTTTAATACCGTCTTTCGGAAGTTCACACACACGGACACACAGATCAAAATAAATCTAGGGCTAAGGGGAGCCGGGAAGCGCAGGCTCCCTTAACCCTTCTGCCCCGCTGCCCAGGGGTTGGCACAGATAGAAAGAGTATTTACACTGCAGGGACTTGGTTCTTTTTCAGGGTGAGGGGTACTAAACCGGAAACTTCCCACATCTCACTCCGAAAGCAACAAAATGGGAGTTCTGAAATTAGCAAGAAAATAGGCAGAGAGACCCGGATGGAGAAGGGAAAAATCCGCACTGGCAAAGATCCGAGCCAGAGTAGGGTTGCAGTTCTCCCAGGGCTGAGCCCTTTTAGAGGGGTAAGGGGAAAGGGAACGTCCGACTGCGGGTTGGGCCTGAATTCACAAACCCAATCAACAGACTGAACTACCCCGCAGGGAAGAAGGCGGAGCCTGCCGACCTGGAGGCGGGGTTTGTGGGAGTTGGGGCGGGGCCTATAGAGGAGGCGGAGCTTCGAGGGCCTGACTCCCTACTGAGGATCCGAGACCAGGGGAGCTCCGCCCCCGTTTTGCACTTGACGGGGTGGGGCGGCGACTCGGGGCTCGGGGCTTGGGGTTTGGCACGGATTCCAGTGTCGCTGGGGATGTGGGTTTTGGAGAAGTTCCTGAGGAACTGGATTCGGAGCGTAGTCGCTGGGCCCGAGGTTCCGTGGGGGCGGAGTTTATGATGTCTGGAAGTCCAGCGGCGTCGCAGGAGGATGTGCAGGGCGCGCGTTGGATAGGCGGCAGGACTGCACGACGCGCCTGGGAGGTTGGGGGGCACGGAGTGGGGCCGACAGGGGGGTGGTTTTAGGGATCCCAGTAGTTTTCGTGGTGCTGGGCGGCGATGATGATGACTACAGTGAGGATGGTACAGAGCACCATGGCTGCGATGCCCACGGCCAGGGAGATGAAGGAGAAGTTCCGGGCCTCGCGTGAAGCGATCTCGGCGGACACCATGTCTCCGCGGGCCAAGGCCGTGCGCACCTACCGGGGAGGGATGCGGGAAGGCGAGGGTCAGAGAGCCGCTGCTCACCCGTATGTCCAGAATGCCCTGGACTAAGGAAGCCCGGGGCAGCCCCAGCTTTTTCTCTCCTCCCCCGCCCCACACACCTGCACGGCCTTGAAGATGGCGATGATGCCTGTAGGCCAGAAGCAGCAGATGGTGGTCAACACAGCGATGGGCATGTAGTCGTGTGGCGGGCGCCTGGGCTCCAACAGAGCCAGCCCTGGGGCCTGGGGCGGCGGGGGCAGAGTGGAGGTCACTCCCGGCCCCCCAGGGGTCCCGCCTGCGTAGGGCTGTGGGAAGGACAGTGGGGAAAAGGGACGTCACGCCTACACTCCTGCTGCTTGCCAGCGGTTGGCCAGTTGGCAGAGAGGTTTCTACAAACCCGACTCTAAGATTTGGAGGGGGGGAGGAATTAACGCCCCATCCTCCCTGATAGTAAAATCGGCCTAGGCTTCCCCTCTTTGTGCTATTAAGCCCCATAGTCGTGCAAGTTCCCACACTGTCTTACAAGGTCTGGGTCTGTCTGCACTTCAGGTCTGTTTCCACGCTCCTTGGCATCCCCAGGCTCAGACTTTGCCCTCTTCTACCCTAGCTTCCCAGGTTCCATTTCTTTCTCTCCCTCCAAGCCGTTTCTGTCCTGAGTTTTGAACCACCTCCCAAACCTTGACCTCTGACCCCCAAAGATAGCCCCCTCACCAGGTCCACCACCTTCCCACCCGCAGTCCCTTCCCTCTCCACTCTTCTGTCTAGGGTTTGTTACCAGAACACCGCTCGCTCTGGTTCTATTTCGCTCTCTCCCAGCTTCCCGTGTGTCCCTGTTGCACCTGCCTCCCTCCTCCTAGGTCCTGTCAGCCCCACACTCACCGTGCCCACCGGATACACCGGAACATAGGCAGTGCAGGGCTGCAGCTGCAGCGGGTAGCCGGGCGCCACGTAGCCCCCCAGCGGCAGTGTGCCCACCGCCCCCGTGTGCGTGGGCACCACAAAGCCCGGGGCTTGGGCCGTCGGGGCTGGTGCTGGTGGGGGCGGGGCGGCGGCCGCCGGCGGCGGTGGGGGAAGTGGGCCCTCGAAGCGAGTCTCCTGCAGATAAGGGTCGGGTGGCATGCGGGGTAAGGTAGCACAGCCGGGTGGAGGAGCCCCAGCGCCGGGACCGGGTGGGGCATGGTGGGGGGGCCGCGGTAGCGTGGCGGAGGACGAAGGACCACGCTGAGCGCTAGCCGAGGCAGAGGCCAGCCCACCTGCCCCTAAGCGCGGGAGGGTGGCAGTGCCAGACTGGTGGTAGTGGTGGTGGTGGTGATGGTGCGAGGAGGGGGCCGTTTGTGGGGGCGGGATGGGGGGCTCTGCCGGAGGTTGGGGGGCATTGTAGGGCGGCGGCGAAGTGTGGGGAACTGAGTCTGGAAGGCCTGGCCACAGAAAGCGGAGGAGAGGATAAGGGGAAAGAGAAGACAGCAGAGATCAGAAGGGTGAGAACCAAGGTATTCAGAGAAGGAGAAATAGCGAGGGAAAGACAGGTGGGATGGCAGCTCCCAGTCTGGGGTCAGGGAAGCGGGTGTATCTAGGCCACCTGCCCTCCGATCTAGTTTTGCAGTCACAACTGTCACAACTCTCCTCCAGCCCCCCCCCCCTCCCGTCACCCACAGCTGCCAACCACACATCCTCATCCAGGGCTGCCCCAGAGCTGTCCCCTCTGAACTGCGTGCTCGCTTTAACAGTTTTCCTGTGGAAGACATTTCCGCTTTCCTCCAGTGGAGAAATGGGCCAGGGGTTACCTGGGAATCTCATGGCCTCAGTTAGGGTCCATAAAAATGTCTCCTGGGACTAGCCATGGTGGCTCATGCCTGTAATCCTAGTACTTGTGAGGTAGAGGCAGGAGGACAAGGAACTAGGGAGTTCAAGGCCAGCCTGGAAAATCTTATCTCAAAAAAAAAAAGTCTGCTAAATTCTTCTCTGGCAACCCCCATCTGATCAAGTCACTGATATTTCTCCACTGGGTGTCTCCAAGCCATCTGTCACTCCCAGGGATGGTGTCCCTGCAGTACCTGGCTGTGCCTTCCTCTCCTCAACCTGCCCCCCCCCTCGTGTTGTTGACATGGCAGAGGCAGACTGACCCAAAGAAAGGAAGAGAAGGATGAGCTACAGGAAGAGGAGGGGGTGGGGGTCTGAGTGCCTGGAAGTGGAATGGGACTGAGTCACTCAACACCCCAGAGAGGGTCAAAGAAGGGGGTTAGGGCAAGTGGGGGGTGAGACCGGAGAGGATGGAGGGGCTGTGGGGCTATTGGGATTTTTTTTTTACCTGACTTTTCCGATGACATGTTTGCAGTAGCTGGAGCAGGGTCTCTGAAGCTCGAGTCAGGGCCCCCTGGCCGGTGCAGAAGTCTGGGTCCGGGGATGGCGCAGCCGGCAGCAGCGGCGGCGGCAGCGCAGAGATGGAGAGATGAAGACAGTGTCGGAGGGGGGGCGGGCAGACGGAGAGTGGCAGAAGGAGCGTGGCAAGGGGGGGGGAGCTTAAAGGGACCGAGGCCAGGGAGGGGGAGAGCTTCAGAAGTCGCCCCCTCCAACACACACTCGTTGTCGCTCTGCTCTTGGACCACCTCTTCCCTCCTCTCACCCTGGCATTCAAGCCCCCAGTTTAGGCTCCCTTGGAGTTGTCATGGAAACCGGGAGGCAAGACCAGGCAAGGCGGTGGGGACTAAGAGAATGAAGGAAAGGAGGGAGAGAGAGAACTCTCTCGAGTCTCTCAAAGATGCGCTGTAATGATTACATTGTGGGAAGCCAGTTCAATGGATTTACCCACTTACCTCCAGACCCTGTTCACCCAGACCCGGCTCACCCAAGGGGTTCTTTCCTCAGTTCCCCTCAGAACTGCAAGATAGCTCTAGGCTTCTCCAGTTAGAGACAGCATCAGATGTGAGCGAAAACTGTTCAAAGCTGGGAACCAAGAGAGCCCAGTCCCCCAAGCATACAGCCTGGGCCTGCCCTTGTGTCACGGAGGCCAGAAGCTCGGGCCTGTAATTTGAAGCTGGCTGAGAGAAAGCACCTGTGGGGGTACACGGGCACCTTCTTCCTCCAGGGTTAAGAAGCTGAAATGCTTTAGCAGAGGGGAGCAAAATGCAATTGCTTATTTGTGATGGGCAGGTTTGAAAAAGCCTGCTTGTGGGGGCTCCAGAGTTCATATCAGTACCCTACAGCACCCCTGTCCTCCACTCCTCCCGCCCCAAGACGCTGATCCACCCCCGGAGTCAACCCGAGACGCTGGGGTGACTTACTGTCTTTTTATTTGCTTTTTGTGTCTTGGAAGGGCGTGGGTGGGGAGGTGGGGTGAGGATAGGCAGTCTACAGAGATTACACCAGTTGGGCCTTTTGCAGAAACCCAGCAGGAGAATCAGAAATGCCCTCCCATTTTAGAATTTCCCAGCCCTCGCCTGCAGTAGCCCTAGGACATGGCCCCTCCGGTGGTGTCCTGGATGGCAGTCCCAGGCCCCGGCTTGAGCCGGTCCCACGTCTGAGAAATTTTTGCATCACGGCCTCATACCGGTGATTCTGGTTTTTCAAGCGTGGATGGATCAGAGAGAACCCCGGATCTATTCCTCCCACACCGGCTTCACTACACGCGTCTGGTTTTATTGAGAGTCGAGTTTAGACTGAGCAAAGACCCTGCATACAGTCCGAGCGGCTCAGGCATGCTCAGAAATCCTGGAGCCTTATTTAATTGCTAAGTAAATGCCCTGACGGGTAAAGGCCAGCCAGGAGCACTCGGGCGCGCGCAAGGGTCACGGCTAGGCTGAGTGGTGCCAGCACCCGCAGCGCAGAAGTCTGGCTGCAGTAGCAGGGTCTGTGTCGCTAGCTGCCCGCTGAGATCTGAGGAGCAGATTGTTGGGATCGCTCAGGGCTCAAAGACTGGTGGAAATCCGATGGTGAGTCCCTAAAGCCCCTGGGGCCCTCCGCCCATGGAAGGTGGGTCTTGAAGGGTTGGTCGTGAACCCCGAGATAAAAGTAGGGCCAGAGAAACTGGGCCTGGCTGCACTTCACTCAAGGGGCCTGAAGGACTCTTGGCGTCTCCGGAGACAAGGTCACAACACGCACTTCAAAGTGAAGAGTTTGTAAGGCGCTGGTCGGGAGCGGGACGGAAGAGGGGCGTTCCGGTTGGGGTCGGCCTGGCACGCTGCCTGCCACTCGCCTGGCGTCCAGTTAGACGCTGGGTTAGCCTTTCGTCCGTCCTACACCCCCCCCCCCTCCCACCTTGGGAACAGAAATTCGGGCTCTGCTGCAAAGCCAGAAAACCTGCCTAGATTGGAAAGTTGGGCGCATCAAGGAGGGGAAGTAGTACCCTTGGGTGGCTGAATGCAGCCGACCCTACGAAAGCCTTTATATACCCATGATTTGCTATTGCGTCTCCCCTTCCGGTTGAATGGATCGCTCCGCCGCCTGCTTCCTCCCCAGCTCCCTGTGTGCAGTGGAATATTCCATTGCCCCTCCGGTCCGCGGTCCGAGTTGCAGGGGACGCTCTCTCTGTTGTCAGGGAAAGCCCCGGACGTGACGGCTTTGCGCGACCCCGAGCACCCCCCTTCCCATCCGTCATCCCCCTGCGCGCTCTCCTGGTCCCCCTTTCCCTCCCACCCGGTGGATTGCAGACTGGGTACAAGTAAACAGCTGGCGGAGCGAAGCCTCCAGACCCAGGCCAGGTGGGAGTTCCCACTCTCCGTGGGGCCTGGGCTGCTGCTCCGGGGCCCTTGCAGAACCCGGAGTTGTGCATGGCCGAGGTGATGCTTACGGAAGATCCTGGGCCTAGGGACCAAGTCCCTTGAGCGCTAAGTTGGGGGCGGGACTTAGGGTGAGCATTAGTGTGGCGAGGTGGTAGGGGGTGTGTTTGTGCCGAGCCTACTGAAGTAAAAAGTAGGCTGTTGTGGCAAGGACCTGGTATAGGAGCGGAGGCCGGAGGGTTGCTTGCTGGGAATCTACTGGAAGCCGAGGGGTGGGGGTCACTTCCCTTACAGCCCCTCGTTCCTTCTCAGGTAGGAGCATGCCGGGGCTATGGAGGCAGAGGCTTCCTTCGGCGTGGGTTTTGCTCCTCCTGCCATTCCTGCGGCTGCTGATGCCCGCAGCTCCCGCACCCCACCGCGGGTCCTACAAGCCAGTGATCGTGGTGCACGGGCTCTTTGACAGTTCATACAGCTTCCGCCACCTGCTGGACTACATCAATGAGGTCTGTCACGGGACGCCGGATGGAGGGTGTTGGAGCAGCTATAATGGCTGGGGAGGAAGCGTGGACAGCTGAAAGATAACCCCTCTAGGCCAGTTCCTCAGAGTATGGCTACTAGTGTGGGGGAGACTTGGGGGACGGGGGTTCCTGGTTCCAGCAAGCGCATTGAATGCACGTGGCCTTCATAGTTCAACCCCAGTGGCTGCATTGCCCCCTTCCCACAGACACACCCCGGGACTGTGGTGACAGTGCTTGATCTCTTCGATGGCAGAGAGAGCTTGCGGCCCTTATGGGAGCAGGTGCAAGGGTTCCGAGAGGCTGTTGGCCCCATCATGGAGAAGGCCGCTGAAGGGGTACATCTCATCTGCTACTCCCAGGGTAGGCAACACACTCCCAACTCCCAAGCCCTGTAGGAACTTGACCCTGAAGCTGCTTTCCAGCGGTTGCTTTTCTGCGCTGCATAGCTCTGGTCAGAGCCCCCAGCACCCCCATTTTCTGGCTTCCCTCAGCACCCGTCTTCCTCCTGTCCTGAATGGGAGGGAGGCTCCCCTCTGTCCGCATTTTCCATGGCTTAGAGTTAAGGATCAGAGGCCTAGACTCTTAGCTTGGCTCGGTCACGTGACCCGCAACTTGTTGGCCTAGGGTGTGTCTTCAGTCTTGGATCCCATTCTTTTAAAGTTTTGAGAGACCAGAGGCAAGGGTCACTGGGGTGCCCGTTCCAATGTTGGCGCTCTGCCTCCAGGGGGCCTGGTGTGCCGGGCGTTGCTGTCTGTCATGGATGAGCACAACGTGGATTCTTTCATCTCGCTGTCCTCTCCACAGATGGGGCAGTATGGAGGTGAGTGGGCACTGTGGGTTGCACAGAAGGCGCCATGTCCAGGGCACAGAGGGTTGAGGCTCCTTGGCGCTGCCGTTCTTTTCTCAGACACGGACTACTTGAAGTGGCTCTTCCCGACATCCATGCGGTCTAACCTCTATCGGATCTGCTATAGTCCTTGGGGCCAGGAGTTTTCCATCTGCAACTACTGGCATGGTAAGCCAGGGGGAGGGGCCCGCGTGGGCACGGCCCTGTGGGCGGCGCGGCCCGTGCCCACCTCTTCTGCAACCAAAGCAATGGTTTCCCTTTATCCACACTTACTAATCGAATAGGTGCTATTCAGAATGTTGTTGGCTAGCCAGCCACCCAGGTACCTCAGAGTGTGTGGTCTGGTGCAAAATTAAAAAAAAAAAAATTAGTGGATCATCATTATTATTAGTCTGTGTGCATGTGTGTGCGTGCACGTGCGTGTTCTCATTCATGAACATACATGAACACATACATGGAGGTCAGAGGACAACTTTCAGGAGTCCATTCTGTCTGTCTGCACCACTGTTCAGCTGCTGCAGTGTGGACCATAGCCCACATGAGTGAGTGAGTGACTTTATTTACAGTAACAGGCAGCAGGCTGGGTTTAGTCCTTTGGGGCCAGCCTCTAGTGCAGGGTAGCATGCCTGGATGCTGGGGCCAGATTAGTATCATTAAATTAATGAGAGTAAGACACTTTTAACAATCACTGGCGCACACTGGGTGCCAGATAAAAGTACCTTCCAGGCCGGGGGTGCTGGTACGCACATTTAATCCCAGTACTTGGGCGGGAGAGGCAGAAGGATTTCTTGAGTTTGAAACCAGCCTGAATTATATGGGAGTTCCAGGACAGCCAAGACTAAATAGACCCTGTCTCAACAAACAAACAACAGAAAACCTCAGAAAGTGCTTTTGATCATGATGACCGTTATTTTTATCCTTCTGTTATATGGCTGGGTGTCTGGTTTCACTGTTAGGTTTATATATGTATTTATGGCTGGGTGTCTGGCTTCACTGTTAGATTTATGTATATGTATTTATGGCTGGATGTCTGTCTTCACTGTTAGGTTTATGTATGTATCTATGGCTGTGTGTCTGTCTTCACTGTTAGACTTAAATATGTATTTATGGTTGTGTGTCTGTCTTCACTTTAGATTTATGTATGTATTTATGGCTGGGTGTCTGGCTTCACTGTTAGATTTATGTATGTATTTTATGTGTATACTTTGCTTGTTCATCTGCATACCAGAAGATGGCATCAGACAGCTATGAGCTGCCCTGTGGGTGCTGGGAATTGAACTCAGGACCTTCAGAAGAGCAGTGAGAAGTCTTAACCACTGAGCCATCTCTCTAGCTCCAGTCTTCACTGTTACTGCAGTCTCCTGACTGGCCATCTGGTCTTCTTTCCCATTACACTTTTCTTCCTTTTTTTTTTTTAAAGTTTTAAAATTTTATGTATATAAGGGTTTTTTTGCATATATATGCACCACATACATGCCCATTGCCTGTGGAGACCAGAAGAGGGCATTGGGTCCCCTGGGACTGGAGTTACAGACAGTTGTGAGCCACCATGTGGGTGCTGGGAATTGAACCAGAGTCTTGGAAGAGTAGCCAGTGCTCTCAACCACTGAGCCATCCCCCCAGCCCCATTGACTCTCTGTGTAGCCAAGGATGGCTTTGAAGTGATCTCCTGATGGGACATCCTGAGTGCCTGCTGTGTTGCAGGTGTGGGCCACCTATGCCCTCCTATGCAGTCTGTG